CTTCGAATGTTCTTCAGCTCAGCCGGCCGAGGGTCTCATGTTCCTGGAGGATGTGATTCTTTCCTAGTTCCGGCCGTGGAAGAACCCCAATAACTGACCACAATGCCGTTCAGCTCGATGTGGGCATTGTCATGTGTTTCGTTCGTCGTTCGCTTTGTTTTGAACGTTCGTTGTAAACGTTGGATTCCGTTTCGTTTTTCGTTGTAAGCGCCATTTACGTCGTTGTGGTCTTTCCTTGAAGAACTCCTAATCCAAAAGACATAGTGAAGACGTGGTCTCAAGTAGGTCCCCGTCTTTGCATTGGGGGTGATATGTCTGGGCGGTTTGGTTGTAAACATGTTCAGGAGCTACCAATTGTCCGGCCTCCTCCCCTTGGCCCCCCTGCGGGGCCCCCTTGGGGTTCGACCCCCCCCCCCTTGGACATGGGGGTGGGCCCCCCTCGTTCGACCCCCCCTCCCTTGCACTCAGGGCGGGGGTAGAGGCATCCCCAGTTCCACCTTCCCCTCCTTCAGAACAGGGCAGGGGGGGGGCACGGTTCGAATCCCCCCCCTTTGGAGGAGGGTGCCCCCCTTGTTCCCCAGGTGTGCCCAATGTGTTTGGGGGAAGAGCCCCCAGGATCCACGACTAGTTCACGACTTGGTCCCTTGATCTAGATCTAAGGAACGACCCGTTAACCAGAGCCCCTCTTGAGCCCGAAGTGGTCCTCACTTAAGCGCCTTGACAGTAGGACCCGTGTAGTCGTACGCTGCACCAGTTCCCCGCGCGGTCGTCACAATGGGAAAGCACGACCTTCCAACTATTCATTCGTTCTTGATGTGCCCGCTGATGTGCCTTTTGGTGCAGATTGGTTGGGCACGTCTCTTGAAGATGGCCCGAGCGTCCCCCCAGGGCGAGGCGTTCAGCGTCTCGGCCGTGCAGTCGGACCGAGGAATAAGATCGAGGTCGGTTCAGGGAGGGCACCCTAGTGCTCTTGGTGTTTATTGGATGTTATTGTGCACCCTGGGGAGGGTACCCTTGGATGTCATGTGTGTGTGTTGGCCGGCGGAGGGTCCCGTGTTTCTGAGGGATGTGTTTCTATCTTAGGTCTGGCCGTATTCGCCTTTGTCCACAGCAGGTCTGTCATCCGGGGCCTGAAGCGGCTTCTGGCGCCCGAGTACCAGGCGATCGAGGCGCTGCTGCAGGCGCGCGGCCGCGAGGTGCCCGAGCAGTTGCGGCGGCGCGACAGCCGATGCGACCGCCCCGAGGAGCTCCGCGGAGACCCGTTCACTAAGGAAAGGGGAGCGTAGCCTCGTCAGGCGGTCCCCCCCTCCGCCCTCCTTCCTCCCTACGCTGTTGATTTTCCTTGTGGGCCATCCTGTGACCGCCTTTCGAGTAGAGGATCAACTACAGGATTGATGTACCCTTGAATTTATTTCCCCGTCGAGTTTATGCGAAGCATTCGTACAATTCTCCGCACATCAAAGGAACATTCTGCGTATTTTTCGCAGGTTCGACGATATAAACAGTTTTGGCGCATGCAGCGGCTGCATTCGGGGGTGGGCCATAAGCCACCCGGTCTTGTCGGCCGCTCCCTCTGGAGAGCCGCTGCTCGTTCGCGCTGCCCGCTTTGGCTTGCCGCCTCCACGCGTCTTGGCCGTGTGGACAGCCTCGTCCATTATTCAGTCACTCAGTTGCGCTTGGAGGCAACTCTTAGCCTTGCTGTCTCACTCTATTGAGGCGTTCCCGCACGCAAGGTACAGTTCAGCGTGCCCGGTCCGGGGATGGTTTCTATCATCCACCTCGCCGCATTGGCTTTAACTTAGTTTGCACTGTAAGTTTTCCTTCTTTGTGTCGTTGTGTGAGGCCTCGTTATATAAATGGTCGATGGGACCATATGGGGATTGATGCACACACAGCGCCACTGTCTGGTCTCAGGTCCTCCGTCTCCTCTCCTACTCCAGTCGCTGTCAGTATCAGGCCTGAGGGTGTCGACTTAGGGACGCAGCCGATTGGACTGCGCAGTGGGCAATCGCGTACGTGATGGCTTGGCGCGATCGTCCCCTCTCTCATGCCCCTCCTTCTTCTCCCAAAATATGTGCGAGGAAAAACAAGTTCTGGGGAAAGCCAATTCTGAAGTCGATCCCCTACTCGAGCCCTGGGAGCCCTCTTTGGACCCTCTTGCGGCCCTCCTGCGATTCTGGTCGGTTCCTAGCCCAGAACGGCCTTGTTCTGTGCGGTCTGGGCCACAGCCTCAGGCCACTCGCACCGTCCTGCCAGCGTGCCCTACAGGGTGGTGACTCCAGGAACCTCGGCCCACTGAAGGTGTGAAGGCGCCCCAGAGCCACTTTGCCTCAAGTCCTCCCCGTCTCCCTCGGGATGACCCCTCCACCCAGGAGCTTGATGGTTTCTGCGTCCCCCCCGGTGGCAGCAGAGCGCCGCCCGGGGGGGGCAAGAGCCTTGCCGCAAGGCTGCGAAGTCTTCGGTGTTAGTGTTAGGTCGGGCATGTCCTCCTACATGCGCACCCTGAAAGAAAAATCAGAGATAGTCAAACCATCGTGAACAACAGTCAAAAGAGCACCAAACATCGCCACCATCCTATTTTTCCCATTCTCTTGAACATTCTTCCGATAGAGGGACATGTCCGACTTACTGTTCGTGTCATGGCCCCCCGCGAAGGGAAGGGGTCCCTGCCCCACACAGCCGCCCGCGGCGCAGGGTGTGGCCCCCTCCACCGCGTGTGGCGCGCCGCAGGGTGTGCGGCGTTCGGGCCCCAGTCGGGGGCACGCTGTCAGTGCGTGGGGGTTGGCGGCGCGATGGCCGAGCGACCCAATTGTAAGTCGGGCATGTTCCTCTTGACAGCAATATTGACCGATCGATCAGTTTTAACTCGGGCATGTCCCTCGTAATAAGAATCCTCAAGGATCGTAGAAAATAGCCTTGGGACGATGTTTCGTGTTCTTTTGTCTACTTTTGCGTGTTGAATTGCTTCGCTCATTCCGCCGGCCCTGGAGCGCTATTTGGGGCCTCTTGGGACCGTCTTGGGGGCTTCTTGGGGGCTTCTTGGGAGCGTCTTGGGGCTCCTTGGCGGCGTATTGGGCTCCCCTGGGGCCTCTTGGAGGGCTCTTGGGGGCCCCTTGGGGCGGGAGGGGGGGTAGTCGATTGCAGACCCCCCTCGGAGGCCACGATCCTCGTGAGGGGTGGCGAAAAATAGCCTCCCCCCTGGGGATCGCCTGGGACCCGGCCAGGTATCGGCCTGGGTACTTTTCGTCCGGGCCCCCCCAGGGGCCGCCGCGCGCGCGCGAATTAGAAATATTGTTAAGTAGTTACCGGAGATCTCGTGTTATTTTGTCTACGTTGGCTTATTTGTAGATTCTGGTTCATTGTTCAATTCAGCATGTAGGAGGACATGTCTGAAGGAGTTGTGTCTATTTGTTTGTGTGTCCCTTGGCTTCTTTAGTTTTTCTTCCGAATCAGCCCATGTCCGACCTTCAACTAGTCTGCAGTCTGTACTTGAAGAGGGCCCCGCTCGGGCAGACTCGGAGCAAGGGGTGAAGGCGCATACATTGTTGCCCTTCTCAGTCAGACCTCCGTCGTTCGGATTGGCACGAGAGGGGCATCGACGACGGGCGCATCTTCACCGATGCGTGTGATCTTCGATTCGGCGGCGAGCGAGGGGTGGAAATGAAAAGGAGAAGGTCTTCTCAGAAGGCGGCGGGACTTCTCAGAAGCATTCGCGCCTTCTGAGAAGTTCTTCGGGGAAGGCTTAATCCACTTCTCAGAAGGCCGGGGAACTTCCGAACCATCTGAGAAGGCCTTCTCTTTTTCACTTCCCCCCCCCTCGCTCGCCGCCGATCGTTGTACACGTTCTCAGGAGTCATCGCCCCCCCCCACGGGTGAAGGGGGGCTTGGAGGAGGAGGAGGAGCAGGAGGAGGAGGAGGAGGAGGAGGAGGAGGAAAGAAGCGAGAGGAAAGAAGCGAGTGGAAAGAAGCGGGCCCTAGGGTGGCGCATAGACCACTTCCGCCGCCCGAGGGCTCGCTCGACCTGCACGGCCTCAGGACGAGCAGAGCACGTGGGGTGCCCGCGACTGGGGGCACCGCCTCATCGCACTTGGCAGAAGAGCTCCGCGTCCGAGTCTTCCGCTGCTCGGACCTCCACCTGTCCATGCATTCGACCGTGATGTCGAAGACGAGGCCCTGCACCGAGGCCTTCTCACGGGCCTGCCTTGCCTCCGTCAGCAGTGCCCGCAGGTCGAGGGCCCATTCCGCCGCCACCACCGCGGCCGCGGTGGCGTCCCGCTTGCCGCCTGCCTGCCGGAGATGCTCGGGCTCGCACTCCAGCGCAGCTCCGCCCTGGGCCCGGGGCTCTGGCCGCCCTGGGCCAGCCATCATTTCGTTGATTCTCCGCTCGCTGACTGGCACCATGGCCTCCCCCCCAACATTTCCCCTCGCCAGATGGCCGATCGAGAGGCCGTGGCGCACGCAGGCGCTGCGACTCCTCCGAACTCGAGGGCGAGCTCCACTCGTTCCACTCCTCTCGGTTAGGGTTGCTGGACTTGGACCTCCCTCCTCTTCCCCTTTTCCTCCTCCTCCCCCTCCTCCTCCACTCTGTGGCCTGCTCTTTCTTCTCCCTCCTCCTCCTCCTCCTCCTCCTCCTCCTCCTCCTCCTCCTCCCAAGAACCGTTCTGGTTCAACAGCGCCGCAGCGGCACTTTTGGACCTGTTCCGAGCCTTCTCGAGGCGTTCTTGGTTACGGGCTGCCCTTGCGCTGGCGCTGAGGTCTGCCCCGACGGATACGGAGCAAAGGAGATGAGTCGGCGCCCGAGGTGTTCTGCGCCGAGGGCTGCTGGCACGACGACCCCACGGCAGTCGCGTGTTGCCCACTTCCTCGATGACTGGACGAAGTGCGCGAACTGCAGGTCCTGGACATGGAACGCTGTCTGGGGCGACGTCGCGTGGAAGTGCGAATGCGGCGCCCAGGTCGTGCCCTTTCGGAGGCGGGGGTCGTCGAGAGGTCCTCCGGCCATGCGCAGCGGCTCAGGCGAACGTTCCCCGCCGTGGCGTGCGGCTGCTGCTGGCCCACGAGAAGCGCTGAAGCCCTCGGCGCGTTCTTCGGCGGGCCTCGGCGACCTCCTCAAAGAGCTGGCCGCCAAGGAGAACGCCGACCAGCCACAGGCAGCGGCGGCGATCGCCCTGGTGAAGAAACTGCTTGAGCTGCCTTCACTTTCCGCCGAGCCCACGCCCCTCCAGGACGATTTCAGGCGGGCAGCGGGCCTGTGCAAGGAGGTGGCGAGGAAGCACCAAGGCGCGGTCGACAGCGTTGTGAGACTAGAGGAACAGCTCAAGGCAGCGCGGACACGCGAGGCCGAGGTGGCCATCCAGTTGGCCGAAGCCGAAGCGGCCAAGAGGACGGCAGCAGCGGCAGTTGCTCGTCAGGCCGCCGAGGCTGATCAGTCCGAGGCGGGAGGTGACGCTGACGGCGAGATGTTCCACCTCTCGTGGGATCCGAGCATCTTCCAGGACGCGCAGGAGCTCGACCCCGCCGAGCAGGGGGAGATGGCCAACTTCGAAACCAAGCTCAACAGGGGCATGGCTGAGCTCGCTGTGCGGGCCAAGGAGATTCGCGTGAAGCTCAAGGCAGCCAGGGCGCTGGCAGCACTCAAAGCCTACCTTGGAGGGCGCCAGTTTCGGGGAGGGGGCACTGAGGGTGGGGGGTGGCTTGTCTGCAGGCGCAGCCACTACACCCACCCGTTGAGCGGAGGTGATGGCCCTGCCTTGGCAGCGCCAGGCTCGGCGTCCGCGGGCGATTTCCAGGCAGGCATCTCCCGCCTCAAGGGCCAGCGGCATGTCGCGCTGGTCAGTTTTCTACGGCGTCTGCGGGCTAGGCTGGGCTGACTGACGGCAACTTGGGGCGCTTCGCTAAGTCGGGGGCGCTGCTGACGTCCCTGGCTGCCCCGCGGCCGGTGCCGGGCGACATCGACACGCCGTGCCAGACGCCCCAAGAGGCAGCCTTCCAGTCCAAAGTGGGGGCGGTGGCCCTTCAAACCGACGTGGCTGCCGCGTGCGACAGGGGCGGCTCTCGCATCGACTGCGGGCTGTGCTCTCCTTCGTGCGCGCCGTTGATCGGCGGCATGTGGTCCGCGGCAGCGGTGCCCCTGGGCGCGCATTGCGGCTTCGTCGTCAGGCTGCGAGGGGGACAGGGGAAGCTGCGGTCTCGACAGGACTTGCTCGCCCACGCACCCCCCCCCCCCCAACAAAAAAAAAAAAACTCTTCGACCCAAGCAGGAGCCTCGTTGGGCAGGATGAGCGCCAGGCAGAGAAGGGATGCCGAGGCCAGAGCGCTGGCCAGGCAGAAGGAGCTCGACCTCCACCAGGAGCTCTTCGGCGATTGTCTCAAAGAGCCTCGACAGGGCTGGGGGCTGGGGGGGCGCCTCCACGGGCGTCGGCCCCGCCAGCAGCAGCGCGGGCAGCAGCGATGAGGACGTCGCAGAGGTTGGCGCTGGAGGGGGTCGCGCCCCCCCCCCCCCCTTGCGCGGAGCGCTGCCTTCGACGTTGCCGAGGCCGCCCCCTTCGAGGACGTTGACCTCGAGGTCGGCGAGCTGGCCGCGCGGGCTGGCCCGCCCGTGTCGTCTCAGCGCGGTGCCGAGCTGCAGCGGGGCTCTGACTCGCGGGCGGCCGTTGTGGGCAGGGCGCGCGGGGGTGTTGGCAAGGCATGCGTCGAGGCGTTCGCTGACCAGCCAGCATTTCCGGGGCCGGCTTCTGGGGGCCCAGCACCCCCCGAGACCCCCGCAGGACGGCGAGGGCCATGTTCGGGATCCCCGACAGCATCTGGAGGGCCTCCGCCACGCCCACCAGGCCCCTTCCAGGCCAGGCTTGGAGGAGCGCGCAGCTCTCGACCGCCGTTGTCGCGCGTGGCTTCCTCCTGCCTGCCCCCGGCGGCCAGCGCGCTCACTGGGTCGAGCAAGCAGAGCGCGCCGCGCTGCTCCATCACGGCCGCGAGTCTGGCGGCAACGGGCCCAGAAGCCAGGTTGCCGTCCTCCAGGAGAAGAGCTACACGCAGCCCCCGAAGGCTCGGGCGGAGCCTCTGTCGGGCGCGGTGGCCAGGCAGTGGTCGGCCGCGGCCGCCCTCCTCACGCGCTTAGCCAAGCTGCGGAGGAGGGGGATGGGGGCCGCTGATGACCGACGCCTGCTAGCCGAAGAAGGAAGCGATCTCCGCGGCCAGGTGCACCTTTTCACGCGCGTGCGCTGGGCCGCCAGGGATCGCGGAGTTGCGCGTGGTAGTGAATGGCGGCTTCGGTTTCACGCGGTGCTCGAGGGCTCGGTGGACGTGCGCGCCGTCCCCGAGGAGCGTCTCGGAGCTCTGGGGGCGGGTGCCCATGCTGCAGCTGGCCGCGCCAGGCACCGAGCCCTTGGTGCGTCCTTGCGCGACTTCCGCCAGTGGGTCAGCACGGCGGGGGCCACGCCCGCCGTCTTCCGCTCCTTGCGTAGGGGCGCCCTACCAGCGAATAAGCTCTTGGTTGGAAGGCCCGCCCTAGCCAGGCCCACAGATATGCTGGACAGCAAGGCCGACGTCTGGATGGGCTCGTGGGCGCCGCAGGCCGCGGGCGACGCAGAGGTCAGCTCGCCCTTCGATGACGTCCGCGGGCAGATCCTCGTCGCCGTGCTGCCTCCCATCACTGTCGAGGATGTGCGGCAGGCCCTCCGTCGCATGCGTCCCAACGCCAGAGCGGCGGCGTGCAGGAAGCAGTTGGTCATTGGCCTTTCTGAGGGGACTTACTTAGGGCTTGCTGAAACAACCGGTGAAAGTGAGCGCGCGGCGTGCTTTGCGCTGCCACCTGGCTCAGCATCTGCGCTCGGGATTCGAGCGCCGCGATGAGTCAAGGCGCTGTTTACAGTGCCTGAAACCAGTCACCGGCACCAGAGATGCACCAAGAGCATTCTCACTGAAGATCAGGACGACTACGGGGCCTTTGGTCTCAGGCCCGCGTCTTGCGACGAAGAATTCGAGGCGAGCCCCGGACGTCTTACTGCCAAACAGTCGATGATATAAGTGCGGCCAGCACCGGGGGCGCCGTCGACAAGCGCGTCAAGTCCTTTTCTGGGGAGATTTGCGGGAAATGTAATCTCAACGTGCACACGCGCACCAATTGCGCCGCGAGATAAGCTTGGGACAGCGACGGCAATGTAACTCTTGACCAAGGCGATTATATAGAACAGCTCCGTCCTATCCAGCGTCGCGAACTCGCGGGCGCAGGTGCTGAGGCAAAGGCAGCGAAGATGGTCGCTGATATGTCTGTCCGCCTCAGAGGCGCTTTGGCTTACGCCCCCTATCGCGCAATTGTTGTTAATGGTACATGTTGCATCGCTGCAGCGCGTCCAAGAACCGACCGATCTGCAAGTGCGACGACTCAGCACGATTACCAGGGAACTGCAGGCCTGCCCAAAGAAGACCGCTTATCAAGCGATGGTACCAACGGGCGAGGTCGATCTACAGAACGACACCGGCTACCGTCGTCTGATCAGCGATGCCGATGGCGAAGTCCACGGCTATGCTATTCGCGGGGCAAACCTGCTCAGGCGTGGACTCGCCCATGCTGACGCGCACTGCAAATCCCATCGCTTGAAGTCTGCTCGAAGCGGAAACGCGACCAGCTGCCCACAATTTGGAGGACTGTTATCCCACGACTGTCACACTGCACGAACTCCACTCAGGGCCGCTGACACCCACTCAACTGGAGGATATACTTGAGATGGGCAGCCTGAGCGTTAAGGCCACTTTGACCATTGATGCAGAATCCGGCTTAAAGTCCCTGTCAAGTAAAGACCCGAAGAGTCCGACCTGATGTGCGCTTTTGGGTCGCATGAGTTGGACGCGGCAAGTGTTGGAGCGAGGTATCGCGCATCGTGCGCAGCGGTGTGGCACTCGCGATATCATTGCGGATGGCCACGCCAAGGGGGGCATCGACACAGACATGCTCCTACAAGTCATGGGAGGAGTGCAATCCTTCATGCACGGCTCGAAACGACACACTCCCTACAGGACGGGCCAGACGAGACCATCTGAGCCGCCTGAGGACTAGTAAGTTGCGGGGTAATTTGGCTGCGAGGCAATTTGCCTGTGGGGCAACTTGCCCGCGGGTTGCATGCCTAGTTTGCGCCCGCCGGTTGCGGCCCACCTTGTGTGCTATACCTGCTTTGCTGAGTAAGGCCGGTAGCGGACTTGCGCTTCGTCTTCTCCCCCCCGACTATAAAGGGGGAAGGACAAAGGCGAGATGCATCGAGCGTTTGTCCGCGGCCATTTCGGCCCAGTGACCGGTCGCCTACTTGACCGTGCCTGAGGCGCACTACCATATATCGAGATAGAAGGCATCGTCTTTATTCTTGAGGTGTCTCGCCACTCTCGCGGCTCCTTCTAACTCCTGGGATTATCGCTGATACGGTGCAACAGAGTTGGGCGCATGCTCCGCCATGGGCGAAGCATCTGGCTGGGCCCCCCGACCAGCTTCAAACTTCTCGGGCCGTCTTAGAAGCCATCTTGGGCCATCTTAGGCGGAGTTGGAGGCCATCTTGGGCCATCTTGGCCGTGTTGGAGGCATCTTGGAGTCCATCCGGGGTCATCCTGGGCGCGCAAGGCATTGACATGCGCTGTTTCCGAAGTGGCCGGCGCGCTGGACCGAAGCCCCAGATAGATCAACAACAACAAAACCAAAAATATCCAGCACGCCAAGCACCCCCGTGGTGCGCCAACAAGGATCGGCGGATCTAGTTGCCTTTGGCCCACCCCGCCACCGTGCTTGATTTGTGCGTCAGGAGTTTTTTGGATGAGTACACGGGTTTCTTGGAATGCCTATCAGGGGCCTCTTGGAGGGCTCTTGGGTGCATTTGGGATGTTTTTTGGGTCCTCTCGGAGCTTTTTGGGGGCGTTTTATGTTGGCCTTTTGGTGGCCTCTTGGGGCCTCTTGGAGGCTCTTGGGGCCATCGTGGGGGAAAGGCTGGACATATCAGTTCGTATTCCCCTTTTGGGCTTTCTTGGCGCCCTCGGAAGGGCTTTCTTGGGCTGTCTTGCAGGCCTCTGGGGCCATCACAGGGCCATTGTGGGCCGTCTGGGCGATGGGCCTGGCTTCTCTTGGACCGATCTGAGCTTCTTCTACTTGGACGATGGCTGCCTCGCGGGCGACGCGCCGGCCGTCGCTCGCCTCCTCCGCTTGCTCGTGGCCAAGCTCGCCGCGGTGGGCCTCCAGCTGAGCACCGGCCCGGGCAAGTGCGAGGTCGCCCCGGCTGGCGGAGACGCTTCCGACGTGTCTCTGGACGGCTTCCCAGAGGGGTTCCGCCTCCGCACCGATCGCAGAGGGGTTATTCTCAGAGGGCTTCCCAGAGGGGCTCCTCCCCAGAGGGGTTTCGCCTCCGCTGCTCGGCGCGCCAATAGGGGGCGCTGATTGTTGCGCGGGTCACACGAGGCAGCGGGTTGCTGACGCCACCGCTCTGCTTGAGGCTTTGGGGGCGCTCGAAAACGCGCAGGTCGCGCTGCACCTCCTGCGGCGGCGCGCTTCTTTTTGCAAGCTGGGCTACTCCGCGCGCCTGGCGCCGCCCACCGCGCACACCGCCCCCTTGGTGGCCATGGGCGACGCTGTCCGGGCTTGCCCAGAGCAACTAAGCGGCTGCTCTCCCTCCGACGCCTCCTCGCAGCAGGCTCAGCTCAAGCTCGACAAGGGGGGCTCGGCCTGCGCCCCGCCGCGCAGCACGCCGCCGCCGCCTACGTTGCTTCCCGAGCGAACGGCGCAGACCTCTGCATGCGGCTCTACCCCAGCTACTCCAACGGCGCTGACCGCGACGGAGGTAGCCTGGCGGCGGCGGTGCAGGCCCACAACGCAGTCGCGCGGGACGCCGACAAGGCGGTGTTCGACCACGCCCAGCACAGTAACCAGAAAGCCCTCTCCGACGCGGTGGACAGCGCCACGCTCGAAGGGTTCCTGGCGGGCGCCACCCTGGCCGGCAAGGCGCGCCTCTCCTCGGCGCAGGCCCCCGGCGCCGCCGCGTGGCTCCAGGCGCCGCCCCGCGAGGCCGCCGGCACCGCCTTCCCGCGCGGCCCCATGCAGGTCGGCCTGCAGAGGCGGCTGCGAGTCCAGCTCTTGCAGGAGGGGTGCTTTTGCCCAGCCTGTGGCGAGGTGATGGATGTCTACTGCGACCGCGCCTTGGTCTGCGCCTGCCGCGGCGACAGGACCAAACGCCACGGCGCCCTGCGCCACCGGGCCTTCTTCGACGCCCTTGCTGCTGGTCACTCCGGGGCTTAGTTGGAGCGCCCGGGGCTGCAACCCGCGCGCCCCGCTGGGGAGGCCACCCCCGGGGGCGAGCAGGGCGGGCCCCAGGTGGGCGACAACGGCCGCCGCCCCGCCGACGTCTACCTGCCGCGGTGGCGCAACGGCACGGCGGCCGCCTGGGGCGTTGCCGCCGCGCCCGGGCCGCGCGCCGATCTCCTCGCCGCGTCGCCAGCGCGCCGACGGAACGATGCGAGGAGTTCAAGAGGCAGCGCCAGGGCACCGCGCGGCTGCGCGCGGAGCGGGGCTTCACCTTCACCCCCATGGTGGTGGAGGCCCATGGCGGCGGGCGGGGCCGCGAGGCGCGCAGGGCCTTCGGGGCCCTGGCCAAGCGGGTGGCCGACGCCACGGGGGAAGACGCCGCTCTGGTAGCGGACCGACACGCCCAGCGACTCGGACCAACACGCCCAGCGACTCCGTCTCCCTGCACAGGGAGAACGCGCGGGCGGTGTTGCGGCGCCTCCAGACACAGTCTGGCGGGGCGGGAGTGGTCGTGGCCCGCCTGGCCGCGGCCGCGGCGGCCTCCACGGCGGACGCCGTGTGAGCGCCGCCGGGCGCTGCTTAACGCCCCCCGCCCACTCCCCCCGCTCTGGCTGGGCAGTACGGGCGCCTCCCCCGTGCCCCTTCTCGCGAATGGCGTGCCGGCGCCCCCCCGCGCTGCCGGCCGTCCCTTCCTCGGCGGGGCGGTGGGTGATACCGCAGAGGTTCCCTCCCCGCCAAGCCGCAGCGTGCTGGGTTCGGTCAGGCCCCCCCCCCGACGCCCTTTCCGACGCCCTTCCCGACGCCCTTCCCGACGCCTTTCCCGACGCCCGCGGCCGACCCCGCCGACGCCCTTCCCGACGCCCTTACGCCCACGACCACCCCCCGACGCCTTTCCCGACGCCCACGCCGACCCTCCTGTCGCCGCCGTAGTGTCCGTAGGTTCGTCGCGGGTGGCCTTTCCCTCCCGGCCCCTGGCCCGGCCCTGCTGCTGCTGCTGCTGCTGCTGCTGCTGCTGCTGCGGCTGCTGCTGCTGCTGCTGCTGCTGCTGTTCCTCCTCCTTCTCCTCCTCCTCTTCCTCCCCCGTGTTGCTTCCCTCCCTTTCCTTTCCTCCTGCTCCTTGCCTGCTGTTTCCGCCTGGCCCGTCTTCTGCCTGCCCGCCCGCCCCGCCGGCCCTGGCCTCCCGCTTGGGCGTTCGTCGTCGTCTGCCTGCTTCTCCCCTCCTCGTCCCCTTCCGCCGAACCGCGCAGCCTGCCCGGAACCAGGGTGGCGGCATGTAGGGCTTCGAGTAGGGATGTACCCTCTTTGGGCACATTGGACCGTTCAACTTGGGCCAGACGGGCCCCACACTCTTTCTCCCCCCTCCTGTGGAGAGGCGGTAGAGGACTCTTGGAAAGACAGC